ATCATTCTCACATTTCTCCATATGACCCAGACTTTCATACTCTGACATAAATTCTTTATACATTTCATAGACCTGAGATTGACCTGCTAACCTGCGCTCTAGCGATAGTAAACACTTTTTAGCTCGTGGCCAAGAATCACCTAATACGTCAGGATTATGTTTTAAGGGTATCCTCACGCAAAATCGACCATTTGCCAGTCGCGTGGTGTTTTTTAAAAAGTGTTCTTCGCATAATTTTTCTTCGTTTGAATAAAGAGACGCAGGGCTTACCTCTTCGAGGTGCCAGAATCGTACTAATTGTTTTTGTATATCTTCATCTAAATCTTTACTAGCCTCATCTTGAAATATTCTTGTAAAATTACATTTAATAAAGTTAACCCCTTTCTTTACATATCTATAATCTATCGGACCTGATACTAACCATCCTAAGCTAGTTTCACAAATAATCGGCTGACCGTCCCCTAATTTTAATCTCTGCGTTCCTATTAAGTCCCAAAAGACATCAGCACCTATAAGCATGTCAACGGGAGCAGGTGAGTGAAAATTAGGATCTGCCAGAGAAATATTAGATGGAATTTTTAAGTTTGACAAATTAACATATCTAGTAGGTACATTTTGGGTTATTGATGGTAGGACAAAACAATGAAGATTACTAGAGAAGTTATCATTCAATGATTTTATCGATACCTTACAAATCTTCTTGATGTGTGCCGAAGCATTATTAATACCGACTACCGACTGATTTACATTTTGAGCGGGCAAACCTAGCCTTTGATATAACTCTTCAGTTATTAAACAAGCGTTACTGCCACTATCAAGAATAGCACGAGCAATATATGGACAACCATTCTTACCTATAACTTTAATTAATGCCGTCGATAACAATACGTCGCCTTGTTCACTACACGATGCAGTGCCTACCTTTGCGGATAATGACAGATGTGCGTTAGAATTGGATGCCAACTGTGAGCCTGTCGAACTGTTTGTTTGTTCGAAATGACCTTGCATAACGGGCTTATTATTACCACTACTCGTGTTAGATGTATTAATATCTGTAATTGGTTTTGACTGGTAATCTGCGACGTGCACGAGAGTGTTATGCTTTCGGTGGCATATTTTGCATCCTGGCTTTTTGCAGTGATTTGCATAATGTCCTGAATTAAGACAATTGAAACATACTTTATACTCTGGCAGTAACTGTAGACGCACATCGTTACTTAATCCAAGAAACTGAGGACAACTGCTTAACTTATGGTCACCCTTACATTTAGGACACAGTTTGGCGGAAAAGGCCGAACCGTTTTTATTACCGGTATCCCGAACTGAAACCATTGCCTTAACTTTTGGAGCATATTTTATAGAAGAATTTAAACGGTTAGTAGCACCAGAATTAGACATTTCTAGTGTTTCGATTAAATCGGCTCGATTTTTTAAAAACATCAAAAATATATCGAACGTAATAGGTGTATCTTTCTCCAAACGACCTTTAGACTCTTCCCATTCACGATATGTCTTAGCATCTAATTTTTGAGTAATAATATGAATGAGAAGTGTGTCCCATTGTTTAGTTGGCTCACCGAGAGATTCTAGTGCACGTAAATTTTTATTTATTTGGTCAATAAGACGTTTTAAGTTGACAGACAATTCTTTATTAATTGGTGCTATATTAAATAAGGCTGTCACGTGATTTTGAATTAGTAGTCTTTTATTATCATATCTATCACATAATATAGTCCATGCGACGGTGTAATTAGCTGCCGAGAATTCGATTGACTGTATTACCACAGCAGCGGGCCCTTCCAACGACGCTCTCAGATAGTGAAACTTATTTATGTCATCTATCTCGTCATTTGAATGTATGAGGCTCATGAACGTGTCATGAAACTCTAACCAATTATCATAAGAACCATTAAATTTAGGTAGTTGAATAGTGGGCAGTTTAACAAATTTATGATTGCCGGAATGAGAGCCACCGTCACTGCTTACGTCATCTGACTTAATGCAATCTGCTAAGATCCTTTTTGCAAGAGAAAGCGATTTAAAATACAGGGATTCAAAATCAGTTCGTTCTGATATCTGGGCGTCTATATTATCAGTATTACACTCGATGGATAATTGTACCTCATCATATCGTTCATACATTGACTCAATCCTACTAATACGTAATTCCAACTCATTTACCTCAGTAGCAGCCAATGAAGATACCTTCAGTGAATTTAAATAATTTGAAAAAGCTGTTATTTGTCCCTTGTAACTAGCTCGTTTCCTAATTTGCTCCTTATCTTCTGGCATGCTGGCTGGTATTGGGAGACTAGTGCAAATGCCTGAAATTTATACAAACAAGAAGTTTATATTTTATAAAATATAATTCATAAGTAGTTTTATACAATTTTGCTTACAGTTGTAAAGAAATGAAAACTAATTCCCTTACTTATTTTTCAAACTCTTAAATAATTAAACAAAATGGTACATGTACTACCTTGATATTTAACTTTATAATTAACAACAATTAAGGGTAACAAATACAATTCAGACCATCAAACAGCTTCACAGGTATGCCTTAGTATGTAATAAATAATATTATGCAATTTTTTCAATTATACACTCTCTTGACTTATTTTTTAAAAAACAGTTTAAACCAATAAAGAGAAAAAAAAATTATAATATCGTCAATATAATTTAACTAAGCTTTATAATTTGATTTAATCATGATTTGACGGTTATTAGAAACTATATAAAACAATATTAAATGAATTTTAGCCGATTAAATACTTTAAGTTATACGTAATTATTTTATAGGTAATTTGGTACTAACCTGATAAATTAGCAGTCGATTTACACAAAATACTACCTGATAATGAGTGCTGGGTTAAATAAATTAAATAATAGTCCAATATCTAAGGGGCTAAGACTCCAGATTTCTTGGTTAAATATCTTCACTCCCTCGGTGGTATTTCCACAACGAATATTTAAGACTTCCCAAGCGTATTCCACTAAATAATATCTTGTCCAATTACGTTTTTTCAAATCCGGCTTCGATTTAGGACCATGAATAGGAATTTGATCTCTTTTTAATAATAAAATGCAGTAATTTGCTCAATCGACCTTTACTTGATCTCTAAATTTTACAACGACGACCGGTACAACATTTTTTAAACATACCTACACAGCTTACGGACTAATATTGGCATGAGAACTGCTAATATAATTTGACAGGCGCTTCAACAGTGTGCTTGGGAAAGACGCAAAAAGCAGCGGTCAGTGGCGCGCGCACTCCGCTTCCACCACACCTCATCCCGCTCGCATCTAAAATGAGCCCGCTACACGTCCTCGCACCGCTCATTTGCGCAGCGTTTCACAGCGTCGCTACGCATCCTCGCACCGCCCAGCTGCTTCCTACATTTCTGGTGGAAACGCAGCCTTAGACTGCTAAATGCGATTTCCTTCATGAATATTGTCGTGTTTTGCCATAGGCAAGTGGCCCGTGTTGCTCTGTGTTTTGCTTATAAAAATGAATGTATTTCCATTTTTAAATGTATGAAAAAGTATAAAATGCTTGCCCTTTAATATTATTTACGTAAATGCACGTTTGCCTTGAAAACCGAAAGAAGTATTAAATATGTTTAAATTAATTATTTATTTGGATTCTTTTCTGCGACCGATTTCATGCATTGTTAATTTTCGTGAATGGGAAAATAACTGTTTTGTAGCCTTTCGAATGAAATTCTAAAATGACCGCTTTGCACAGAATCTGTTTGATAACTGTATACATCAAAATAAACATAATAATTAACATATTTCGAGTTCATTGTACGCACAATGGTATAGAATGGTTACGATCTTGATTGTATGACCCCACTTTACCGCGTCTGTGCGAAGAAGGCCAAGTGCGAACGGTGTTAATACACCAGCCAACTAAGACCCGCACTCAACATTAAAATTATTCCTTAATCATTGACTCTTACAATGTTCGCGAGGTCTTTAATAACTGGTGAAGGTGCACAAAACTTCCAATGTAACAAGACACTTGGGTTTTAAAACAATTAACTCTAGCTAAGCAGAACTGAGCGGGTTCATTTGTAGTTGGTCACGTGTACAATACAATATAACCGTGGTAATTACAATTGCATCATGGCGTTATTCAATTGTTTGCTATTTGTCTTTGTTTTTTTTTAGCGGTTTTGAGTGACGTTATTGGTGCTTTCTTTATACTGATTTTCAGCTTACTGTTCAAGCCTTGAACTTGTAAGTGCATCAGGATCAAAAATTACAAAATTACTCATCATTGGCTATTACGAAACAATGACTAATATCGGTGGCATAAAGCACGGTCCTGGCCACTTACTTTCATAAACATTTAAATCGTTATTTAGTGGAAGGTCGAAACAAAACGGTACATAGAAAGCTGAAGCTGAGCTGATGCGTTGTGGTCGCCCTACACTGCGATTGCTGCTACGAGGTCTAATCCCTCGTTTCTAGTATTTAGATGTCTGGATATATCGTGCCATTTCATCGATATTGCCGACTTCTTTTCGTGTCTCAACCTGTATCTAAAAACAGCTTGGCGAATCACGTACACATTGGTAAAATTAAAAAGATCATTTAAAACAGGTTATGTAATTCAGTAGCTAACATTTTTTGTATTACAATGTAACATACTTATTTTATATAATGTAGGTGGAAGGTGAACATATAAGTGGAAGGCAGATCTTTATTCTTTAATTAGGAGCCATTAAAGTTTATAAGGGATAAAATATGCAAATGGCTTACTTACTCTGGCTCTTTTGGCTCTTTGTTCCGGCGATGTGATTACCAACAATTTTAATGTTTATAATTATCGTAATTAATTGCAGAAATTTCTTCCATGTTTCACTTACTTCAGCGCATCTGCGGCAATGAATAACTTAACGTGCCTGATAGGCTCGTACACATCTTCCGAGCCTTCCTTACAAATCGCTCCTTTCGCTATCGAATATCGTTCGACGAAACGTTTTCTAAAGGTCGGGGTCCCACAAGGCGCCGTCATATCCCCCCTCCTCTTTACACTCTTCACAAGTGATATTCTCAAGGATGCAGTGGTAAATACTGCTTTCTTCGCCGACGAAACGGCACTCTTTGTATCTGACTATAATGGGAATAGTCTCACTTTCAAAACTCCAAAAAACTACCAATCGCTCAGGCGAATGGTTCCAATGGTTCAATCCATAGGCGGCTATAGAGAATCGAAGTGAATCCCGAAAAAAGTGTAGTAATATACTTTCAATTGCGTTCAACGCCAAAAAGATTCGATATCCAAAAGCAAAGCTAGATATTACCTCCTTATGCGGCGGTCCCATCCCTTGGGAAAACTCTGCCAAATATCTGGAAGTCACTTTCGACGTCCGCATTAGTTTCGCGAAACACATAAGTTTGCAACAGAGCCAAGACAGTCATTGGCCGTCTCCAACCTGTTGTTAACAGGAAGAGTAAGTTGTCGCTAAGACACAAACTCCACCTTTACAAAACCTGCGTTAGACCTATCAAGTCTTACGCAAGTGTAGCTTTTGCCCACACCTATAGGACCCACCTATACGAACTACAGAAAGTTCAGAACTTTTTCATCCGAAAAGCCACCGGAGCACGGTGATATCAACAGGATTCAGATCTGCACAATGATTTTAAACTGTTCAGATGTCTCAGCGCTACTTTAATAGCGCGGAAACCCATACAAACCCGCTAGTGGCAAACGCAGCCAACTACATCAAATGTGCGGACTCTCCGTAGACCGCGTAACGTTCTTATAGAACAACCACGCTCGCTCGATCCCGTCGAACCAAACGTCGCAGGCACATGTGGCCGTAGGGAGGAAAAGAGGAGATCTCCCGCCGGGCAAGGTGTTCTGCCCGGGGAGCGGCCAACGCTCCGATTAGTAGTTCGGAGCTATTCTATATATATACTGTTTTAATTTCTGAACTTTGTTAGCGCGATTTAGGCTTCGATGTGTTTTCGCTATTGGCGCGACGACAGCGCCGTCACACTCATCAAACGCTGACACTAAACCCACACCAATTGGGACAAGCTCAAGTAGATTAACGGATGGGGCGCGTCGCATCCGTAGGCGGGCACGACGCATCACCGCCCAGAACATCAACCGACACGAGCTAAGCAGTCAGAGGCGTGGATACGCACACCCCCACTCGGACAGCTCATAAAACCTCAACAGAAGAGACATGATGATTAGTAACAATACTAAATCATAAACCAACATCATCCTCATTCCCATCATTGCCTTTCCCTTCTTAAATAGAGGCCTGTGTCAGATGAAGCTGTAAAAGCCGCATAGGTTAACAGCACAGCACAAACATCAGAAAATAAACGAATGAATCTACTCTGAAGTTGTCGCTCATGGTCGAAATCGGTTCGAAGGATATATCACTCTAATAAACTGACTGGACTTGACATCCATAAAGCCTGTTATCTCTAAATGAGGGTAGAAAAATGTGTTATTGATAAGAATAAAAAATAAAGGGATAATAAGAAGTAAGGGTTCAACTGTAACTTAACTCCGCACTTATTTAAATCAAGCTACACCCCTCGATTTGTCAGAGAATATATTATAGACTATTCTTTGATAATCAGATTTATCAAATAGTTAACTTTACCGTAATATTTTTGTGGTGTAATTTTTGAAAGAAGGTTTTATACGTTTAAATAAAATTCGAGATGTCACAAGGTTTGGAAACTGAAATGAAAATTATTGTAAAGTGCTGAGTTGCAAATCCCGTTTACCAGTAACGTCGCATACAATTACCGTACATTGAAATTTTATTGTTATCAATTAGTTGTATTAAATATTTAAATTGTTTATTATTTTAGAATTTTGTTCTTGTTTTTTTTTTTTTAATTTAGAGTCGAAAATATCCATGCCCATAAAGCCCAGTCTGTCGCGTATTTTGTTCGCAAAATTTTCCACCATTTGTTGATGCGTCACATTGTGAAATTTTTCCGTGATTTTGATGATAATTTAACTCAGCAGATTGTATCACAAGGCGTATCGGTGACGATAGTATCACAAGGTGCCTTAAAACTGAAAATCTGTGTCACCATTAAAGCACTGTTTACATCGTTTCCCAATAGTTCACTTGCACTACACAAAAACGCACCACTTATATGTATCAAGATCCATTTCAAACCATTATATAAGCGATAAAACGAGTATCAATCCGAAAGTGAAATACTTCCTGCCGATACTTTCTTCTGGAGAGTATTTTGTATAGTTTAGATATAATTTTTGAAGTGAAAACTTCTTTGGCCGCATTAAGCGATTTTTGGTAGGGGAAAAACTTATGGGTTCACGTCAGCGATGACCTCGACATTCGAGGTGACTGATGATGACTCGAGCATGTCGATAGCAAAGGGGCCTGTGTACATGTATACGCATAAATATCATTAAATTTTCACTTCTGCCGGCAGTTCTGACTGCCTCTGTTTTCTTCAAAATTTTGTTTAGCCTGAAACTTCTCATGTGTCCATTTGTGGTCAATAAATGTGTTTTTCTCACTTTGTTTCGCACGTCAGTAACAATAAATGAATTAATTACCATTTAAAATTAATTACATAAAAATTCAGTTACTATTGTATTTAAGTTCTGCATAACTGAGTACTTGAACGGCTTTAAGTCCGTTTGTAAAGAGAATTCCGAGCAAATTTAATTCTGATCTGAACTCATAGTAAGTTTTAAATTTCTTGAAGAACTTTTCAAGCCTTGGAAGTTTTGCTCGCTATGTAACTGGCTTTGATTTGATAGCCGGGATTGCTAGATGGTCAAGTCCGTGGAACTCCTGGGTTCAAATCCCTGTCAATGTTTATGTCGATAGCTTCTTAGAGACTGAAAGTGTAACAGAAACAGAAACAGAAACTTTTTTATTCAATATAGATTATAAATAATATTTATTGAAAGTCACTCTTTTGTTTAATTAGCACTGGTTCGGAAAAAAACCTCTGTCCTGGGAAGAACCAGCTAGAAACCCAGCGGGACTGTTTTTTTTTAAATAACAGCTTACAATCATGTATGTTACACACATTAACAACACAACAAATTAGAAATAGCTTGGTAGCGATCACCTCATTTCCAGGGGTTATTATCATCCATAAATTCCTTAATATTATAATAACCCTTTTTATACAAACTTAGTTTAATAAAGTTTTTGAACTTTGAGCCGGTCAAATTTTGTATATTTTCTGGAATTTTGTTGTAAAAGCGTATACATCGCCCCAAGAATGAATTACTGACTCGATGTAGTAAGTAATTCATTCTTGGGGCACTGAGTAACTGGTACTACTAGCTTGTGTCTGTTCCTAGTATTTACAGAATGAATATCAGTTATTTTCGTAAAACTACTTTTATTTTTGTGTACGTACATTACATTCTCATAAATGTATTGAGAGGCCAAAGTTAATATATTAATTTCCTTAAATTTTTGTCGCAGAGACTCTTTAGGCTTTGAATCATAAATTGCACTTATGGCCCTCTTCTGTAAAACAAATATAATTTCAGTGTCAGCTGCATGTCCCCATAGCAAAATACCATACGACATTATGCTATGGAAATATCTAAAGTAAACTAGTCTAGCTGTTTCAACACTGGTAGACTTCTAATCTTTTTTACAGCATATGCTGCAGAACTAAGTCTTCTTGCTAGTTTTGATATATGGGGGCTCCATTGAAGCTTCGCGTCTAGTGTGATTCCAAGAAAAATGGTGGTATCTACAAGACTCAGTTTCTCCCCATTTAAAATTACATTAGTGTTTAATTGTTTGACATTTGGAGTCATAAATTTCATACATTTGGTTTTAGTGCCATTTAAATGCAAATTATTAACATTGAACCAATTTACTAATTTAATCAATAGTTTTTAAATATTTTACAATATCTTTTGATGATACTTTATGAAATGTAAAATTCTTTGTACACCCATTTACATTTTGTTTAAGTAATGATTCGGCGACGGCAGGAGAAGAATTCAAATATTTTACTGATATTCCGATATTGACCACTAGTCAATATCGGAATATCAGTAAAATATTTCTCAAAAACCATTGCTACGTCCTGATCTGATACAGTTAATTTGTTGTTAACACTTAACTGGTAATTTGAATTGCGAGTGTTGATTGGTGTGCACAGCTGTTCCAGTCTGAAGGGTATAGAGATCCAGTACTATTACAGGTTGAGAGGTATTCCATTTCAAACCACAGGTGATAACGCATTTTTATCCTTCTTTGTTTGAAGTTGGTTGCAGGTTGCAGGTGGGCCGCAGTTGCCACCTACCGTCAGGTGGATTGTGTCACTTAAATTATAAAAACAAACATCTTAGAACGAGTAAATGCCTCTGTATTACGCGTATACTTGTAACATTCATAAGATGGGCTGTTAATGGCTTGAAGAGAATATAAAATTATGGAATAAATTAGAAACGAATGGAGTAGAATGGAATAGATTTTTTTTAATTCAATATTGATTATTCCGGAATACTTGAGCCGTAGTCGTAAATTTCTCAATTAGCTAGTAACCTAGGTTCGATCAACGTCGGCACCGATAAAATTATCCATCGCAATTTTAAGTATTAACTGGCGCTTGCACAACTACTCAAGAAAGTTCCATTGTAATCGGATGTACTCGTATGTTATAGGAATGCATAGAGGGCGAACAAACATACAAGTATTACTCTTTACATATTAGATTAAGTTTTGTTAAACAACACTAACCATCTTAATACAAAAAATTGTCAGTCTAAATTCAAATCCGTCTCATGAAAGAAACATGGTGCGGATGACAGGTTACTAGACCGTAACTTGCGTGCGTTTGCAAGAAACGACAAAATGTTTAATTGTGAGAAAATAACACTACTATCTACAATAAATATCTACAGCTTAAGATTTGTATAATAAAAATCTATTAATCAATAAAGTATCTACAGTAATCTTTAAAAATTATTAATGTTTAATTTATTTCAGTTGCGTGCACCGTTACATACTATGCTTACTATCATTTTTTTAATAACTAGAGATTTGACTCATAACCGGAAGTAAAAACTGTTTGACAAAAAATAAGTAAGATAATTCTATTTTAATACGTATGGTGCAATATCGTCATATTCATGTATGCATATAGGTACTAGATTTAAGCAACTTACCACTCATGTTATACAATATACAAATAATAATAAATGTAAGCGGTGGTAAAGTTAACAAAA